AATAAAAAACAAACAGGCCCTAAAATAGACACTTCATGCTACATTTTATTTGGACTATATCGGTGATCAAACGAGACACTCATGACGTAGTCATTTCGAATTCTCGAAGGATTTCACGTTTTGTTATAAAGAACCCAAAAGAGTTCACATTTCGTTAGGTCAAAAATGAAGGTCTATTGACAATTCTTGCATATATCATTGAATACATAAAAATATAAGGAAATAAACCACTTGCACGTTATGTATTTTACCTCGATAGATTAAACAAATTTTTTGAAAGAAACACCAAATGCATGTTCCAATATTTTCCTTTCTTGGCTATTGACGTGAAAAATTGCTTTTTGCCGTGTATGTATATGGTGATTAATCTGACTTCTTGCAGTATTTGTTACAATCACTGTTCAAAATTGAGTTTTGGTGAAATTATAATTGAAGAGCCGTGTACCACAAGATTAATTGGATAATGAGTTTCATTAGTAGAATTAGGATTGTGATTAATTGGATAAGATTCATAAGAATGAGTTTCAATTGAAGAATTAGGATTGTGATTATCTAATTAAATACTCACACGTCGCAACAAAAAAAAAAAGGAATTGGCTTAGGTTATTGATACCTAATTACTCAAATTCTATTTATCCTTGTTTACTTTATATCGGATTTAGCATGATGTGGTCTTATCCAAAATAACTTTTCTTGGGTCGAAGATACGTCCTTAATTATAATCTACAAAACAAGCCCAATATTGATATACTTATATTTGTTCTATCAATACTTAATTATTTGGCCAAATAGTAATAAATTTAATACTTATTTTACTTTAATTCCTCAACTTTCCAAAATTATAAAAAGGCATCTAGACCAAATAATTTTATTCTATGAAATTTTGGGGCGTTACACGGGTCCTTAGATTGTTACCAATCACTCTGGATATACTGCTTGTGCATACTACTGGTATCTATTTAATTGGTCTATCATGGATTGAGGGTGTCTTTTTGTATTCCTCTTCCTTGTGCTTGACACTACTTGATCATGGAACACAAGAAAGTCTAACCTAGCATATTAAAATTGCTTATTCTGGAGATATTCAGATTAGAAACTCGAGCTCCGTGTTTAGATGAGAGGGTTAAATTTTTTGGCATCAAAATGGATGGTAGTGATGTTCATGCTTGATAACTTTTGTTAAAAATGATGTGTCAGGAAGAATTCTTGGTGAATAAATGACCTCATCATAGTAATTTGTGACTCCTTAATTCTATAAGAACATAAGAATCTGAGGGGATGTAACTGCACTATTTGCATGCAAGTTTCATAACTTTTGAAAAGGTAGTTATAGTACTGTCCTGATGCCGTATTTCTGCAAACAAAAGTTTTATATCAGTTAAGTGATCACATATAGAACTGGCTTTTGGCACAGGATTGGATTTAAGATTTGACTTAAATGGTTATTTTGGGGGGGGGGGGGGTGCCTTGTATTTGTGTTAAATGGGGGTTGAGACTATTCATAGATACCTTGTATTATTGTTAGAGGGACTGATTCAGAAAGGTTAGTTGGGTGTGAGCTGGTGTATTTCAATTCCCATAACAAATTTGACGTCTCCTAAGCTTAGTCACGTGGTAAACAATTGTATCTTCGTATTCAACCATTTTTGCCTACTACTTGGGAATCTTCTTCTTTGCATGCACAAGCTCAATTGACCTTGCAAATCCAACTGTTGTCTCAAGAGTTCTACAACTCATACCACCAATATCGGTTCATAAATGCTTTCTGCATAGACTTTTGTGTCACTTCCTTTCTCACATATTTTAAATTTCTCAAGTAGAACTTTGCCATACGTGCTGTGTGTCGGAGGCAAAAAAAAGTGCAAATGTCTCAATGTCAACGTATATTTCCCGAGCCCAAGTATCCGCCGGAACATCAGCCAATGCTCTGACATGGGATTATGAGTTCCCAAGTTAAAGTTTTACTACTATTGAGTTTGCTATATTCTTTGATAGTTGTCCATCCATTATACTAAATTAAAGAGGAAATCAGGAAAATTAGTTTTTCTCCACAAAAGATGGAAACTAGTGTTAAAAGTGACTTTTTTCCACTTACCCTGCAAATCTGCAAATGATGTCAATTGTGGTTACAGTCCCTCGACAGTTGGAGTTTGACACTAACTCTAACTCTCGTGGTAGCATCTGTGATGACTGATAAATGCATCTTCTGGATCATGGGCTCCAAGTAAACATCTTTTAGCTTTCCTTTAAGCCTATTTCTTATCTTCAAGCCTCTTCATCAAATATAATAAAAGGGTTAAACCTTGGTATAATGTTTGGTGTGGTGAGTTGGCTTTAAAACTCAATTCTCCTATATTTTTTAACATCTCTTCCAACAAGGAAATTAGTGCCCCTGTGCGGCAAATGGGATGTGATGTTCAGAAAGGGATTATGAGATAGGGAATTGGATACTGTTCTGGGGTTACTGCTATATTTTGCAACTTATCTTCAAACGTAGTGGGGGTTGGAAGGATTATTTTTTTGTGGAACTATTATATGTTAACGTGGAAGATTATCTGACTTGTTAATTCTCCCAAGGAAGTGACTTTCGTCCTCTGGACAGCTGCTAGAGATGCAATCTTGACAGCTTATAATATAGGAAAGAGTAGAAGAATGCAAGTTACTAGTGCTTTTGTAACTAATATTCTGTTTAACTGCAGAATTACTTCCGAGCTGTGGAGTATGTTATGTTAATTCTTTTATGTTCTGTGGGTCTACCAAGCACTATTAGGCAGCATTACAATGGTGAACTTTGTTATCGGATACTGAATAATGACTTAATGAGTAATAGGGAAACTGAAATGCTGCTATTTTCAAACAGAAATTCTTGTAAATAGATAGAAAAGATAAGTATCTACAAATGAGATGTTTGACATTGCTCGGAGTTCCAAATTACCAATTTCTGTTGTTTAGTAAGGAAAATAACAACACCTTGTAATTTGATAGGGGTTTATCATAACAAGCATATTTCTGATCAACTATAAATGGTGAAAAACATTCACATTTGATATTCTACGTATCTTTGTTATAATAGTATATGAAGTATTACGATTGTGCTTATGACATTGTAGGGTTCAAGACGTTGCTGAGTTACTGGGGATGATGGTTGAAGACTACAAGCGCTTGCAACCTAATTTGAGAACCTACGCGTAAGATGACTTTCTTCTTTTAACATTGATGCAGGAATCTGTTTTTCTTTCTTAATTAATTTTTCTGTAATTATTAGGTAAAGGAAATTCAGCATCAATCTTTGAATGTTACATAGCAGTCTTTGTAGGTTTTAACTCTTACTAATGAGGCAGAATGGATTAACTAGCCAGAAACTCAGATATTATCATGAAAGTTCCTTTAACTAGACAATTATATGCCATGGATCCTTAATTATTGGAGCATAGTTCCTTTTCATGATCATCTTCATATCTTGGTTGAAAATTTCTTTCGCCTTCTGCTAAAGATTGAGATGAAGCAGTGATGAGAATTTCGTACATTTTACATTCTGAAATTAAAGAGATAGTGGTATAAGGATCAGACAACAAGGGATTTATTTGTGCAACATAATAAAAGTAGACAATGATGTAATTTATGGTGAAAGTCAGTTCCGATATGTTTTTGGCATGTATTCATTAATTGATAGTCCAAAAGTATAAAAATGTGAAGGTGTAGAGGGTATGCTTTACCTCAAAATTGTTGGCTATAAAGTCAAGACTTGTTTTCACCCTTTAAATTGTGGGTTGGTGATTCTGCTTTTCTTCTTTAGATTGTTGGTAGAGTGCTTTACGAAGTACTGTGTCATAAGGGAAGCCATTCGTCATTTCCGTGCACTCAAAAACTTCGAAGGTGGAACCAAAATTTTGCACAACGAGGGGAAATATGGGGATCCACTTTCTTTATATCTTCGAGCTTTATGTAGAGAAGGTATGATTTACGCTCTCCACCCCCCCCACACCCCTCCCTCTCATCTTTCTTTTTTGCGTTCCTCCATCTCAGTTAGGAAAACATGGATTATGTAAGATGAGTTCCATTATATGTCAACGGAGTAAATTAGGCAATAACTGTGGCTGAAATCATCTATGTGCTCATCAAGAGAATATGGACGGACCTACTTAGATTATAAAGAAAATTAAGTGAAATACAGAATTGATGATGTTACTAAAGAAGACCATGCAATCATATTACCCAATGGTAATTATTATTTCATTTTAAGAATTTACAACGCATTTTATTTTTTTATTAGTTTGAGAAGAAAAAAATGTTGGTTCAAAGTCGTTTCTTTGCTTCACCTATTATTGAGATAGTTGACTAGAGATTGTACCAGTAAGCATTAAGCCAATACTCAATACATTGATCTGCAAAAAGTCAATAAAAAGGCATTGTGTTCTTTGCTGTCATCTTCATAACTGCGTAGCTTTTCCTGAAGTTTTGTAGAATACCTGACCAGTTAGTGGAAAATTGTTCTATCTTATTTAGAAAGCTCGCAATTGTCTATCTAATCCTTTCAATCTTTTTCTTGAGATCTCTTCAATGAAATCGTTTTTAATTGATTATTACATTCGAAATCAGGACGAGTCATTGAGTTACTAGAAGCTCTTGAAGCCATGGCAAAAGATAACCAACAAATTCCACCTCGAGCCATGATTCTCAGCAGGAAATATCGGACACTAGTTAGCTCATGGATTGAACCTTTGCAAGAAGAAGCTGAACTTGGATATGAGATTGATTACATCGCCAGGTTTCTTGTTTTCATTCATATTTATCAATCATGCATTCTAGCTATTTTCCATCACGAGTTGAATGAATTTCTGTGGATAATTTGAGAATTCAGGTTAGCAGGGCACAGAATTGGAGCTGGTGCCCTGGCCCACGCACTCTTTTATCACCATTTCTAATAATCCATAGTTCTCATTCATCGTCTGATGCTCTGATTTCAGTAGTGGTTCGATGCAAGTTATCTCTGTCTAAAGAAAGCAGTGTTATAAATGCCTGACCGAACTGTCCGGTTTGACTGGGAAAACTGGGAACTGTATGTGAAAAAACTAGAAATTTAGAACCTGTTAAAATAACAACTCAAAACCTGCTGATTCACCGCCAAAACCAACTAGTTCAACCCCAAATGGCCGGTACATCCTCAAAATTTTGTTTTTATTTATTTATTTAATTTTTTACCACCTGTTGACCCTTTAACCCTTGAACCTTGACCTTTTCCGGGTCATTGTCTGGTCCGTTTGTAGAACAGGAAAATAAAATAAATTAAAACTTGTCAGTAAGAGAGGAAACTTCATTTGGTCAAGTGGGGGGTGGTTTGTTCTCCTGTAAGGATGAGAGGGCTTGGATTGAGGAAGCTGGTTCTATTTAATAAGGCTTTGCTGGGCAAGTGGCTGTGGCGATTTGGAGTGGAGAGGGTGAGTTTTTGGAGAGAAATCATAGGAGCGAAGTATGGTATTATGGAGGGGGGTTGGTGCTCAGTTGACGGTCGTGGTTCCTATGGGGTGAGCCTGTGGAGGTATATCCGATGGGGATGGAGTGACTTCCGAGATAATTTGTCCTATGAGGTGGGAAATGGCAATAACATCAGATTTTGGGACGATCGTTGGTGTGGTAATCAACCGCTAAAGATGCGATTTCCTGCTTTGTATCGCATT